TATATATATATATATATATATATATTTGAAGTGCATTCCAAGAATGCTTGCCAGAAACTACTATTTTTCCTAACCATCTGTTTCCTCACCTTGCTTCATTTTCATCGTAATATCTCTGATTATTTCTATTTTTTCCATTGCTGCTTTGCTGACTTCCGGGTAGAACTATGTTATGTTAAAAAATTATGCTAAGAAACTACTCTTCTGAAAAATCTGATCATAGAACACAAATCGATGGTTTTTTGCAGTTTCGGAGATCATTTCTTACTGTTTTCATACTCTAATAATACTGTTCACTTATTTTTTTTTAGCAATAACATCAAGAACAGTATAACTGATTAGAATCAAGATATAATCGATTTCCTTCAAAGACAGCAATAACTATGAGACTTAACTGATTGTTACTGTAGATGATCAACCGTAAATGAGCGAAAAAACACGAACATCTCTGAAAACCAGCTGCGCATAATAGCTTTGCAGAGTGAGTTGGTTTGCATTGTTTTTGTTTCAGTTGATTAATTGTTTCATCATAACGCGGTCGGTCATTCAATCGAGAATCAATAAGTGATTAGTTCGAAAAAGTAAAAATTTGAAACAGCGATCACAGATAGATAACACTTCACCATGCTACATTGACCCTCCAGTATTTTGATAGCTGAAGTTTTGAACAAGAAGGATATTGAGTAATCGAAAACAGCCGGAAAATCACCGGAAGGCAAGTCTCAACGGTATATCAAAATGCAACCAGAATTTGCCACTGATGTAGGCTGAGTTTATGACTTTGTTGATTATTTCGACTACACAAATGATTTTATGGGTAATGGGTGCCAAGAATTCGCAATGCAAAAATGGAAGTAAAAATTGATATGAATCTTTTAAGCTGACAATGAGCAAAAAGTGAAATTATTCAACCACTTTGTCAACGTTCACATCAGCAAATGTGCTTCATATTTTACGTCTCGTTGTGAATGTTACTAAAGCCTTCTTATGTCTGTCTTTGCATCATTTCTTACGTATATTTGTGCATTTGCGCAAATTACAATTTTAAATGCATATTTATATTCTTTAAATTTTCTCGTACATCTGATTTGTTTGCTTTCATTGATGGACTGACTGTATTCATCTTCCTATCTAATATTTCCTTGAAAAACATTCCATTTCGAATTTGATTATTACTGATAATCGCGGCATTGCACATTGTTTCAAGCAGCTCTGATCAGTTTTTCCGCTTCTGTACCACATTCAGTGCTCAATAGCAAAATGTTCCATAATTGTTTGTATATAAATCGCTTGATTCATATTTTATTTTCATTGCAGTCGTATAAACGTTTTCCGGGACATAATGTTTCATTTCACCAAAATTCCGACGGAAAATAGAAATCATTGACTGGATGCTTTTGAGCCACTATAAGAAACCTGAATGAAAACCATACTCACTGTTCCACTAAAATACATATTTTGTTCTATTATGGCATCTGCGACTCGACAAGATTCGACGTGTTAAAGGAGTTTTTCTAGAAAAGAGTGGAATGCATATTCAAGCAATCAAGTACATCCAGAAAAGAAGGTATAGCTGAAACGAGGTTGGGAAATTGAATTAAAAGGGAACTGCAGTACAGTACTAGTGTATCTATTGACTGACTGATTAGATGATTAAACAAGGATCGAAGAATCAATGTATAAAACTCTTGAATGCACTTTGACAACGATCGGCGAAAATAGCACTTCAAAAGCGAGTGTTTCATTTTCAGTCGAAAGAGAGACTTCCGTTTAAAAGCGGAACATAAATGTAATCGTCCCTTCCAGAAAGCATGTTTTCTATGAGATTAGAGCTCTTGTTTACTCAAAATGAATGCTTCTTGTTGTAATAAACAATTCAACGCGTTGTCTCATTGCCCTAATTTATCACTGCATGTTGAAATGTTGTTGGTATTAAGTTCAGTCACATTGCTACAATCAATTCACCAATCACATAGTAAAAAGGGGACTTTTTTGCATGATGCATGAAACTGCTCTGGAAGGTCCCTGTCAACAATTGAAATCAGTATTAAAGTGGCAACTTTAGACTTGCTAAAAGTGGTCGTTTGCATCACGTAGTGATGAGAACTGGAGTGAACGAGCCAGAAAATTCGATCACATTTAACTTGTGTTTCACTTAAACGTAACCTCGACACTTACGTATGGCGATAATGCAAATAACTGATGGTGGTAAGCAAATAGGCTTAGAGGACAACGTGAAAACTTTCGATTTGATGACGTATCTGAGGGGGGGGGAGGGGTGGGGAGGAGGGGGCGCACAGGAGGTGTGCGATATCTTCCTCCCTCCAAAGTGTGGAAGAAAAGAAAAAAGAAGATGGAAAGGGAAGGAAAAAGAGGGGAGAAGGAAGATGAAAGTGGGAAAAAGAACGGGGGAAAGAAAGGAGGCGACAGAGAGGAAGGAGAAAATAAACGTCAAAAATACACTCAGCTATTTTTTGGACCAGACCACTTTGCACCCACCCCACCCCCCTTCACGCCCGCTTGGAAAAAATCCTGGTTACGCCATTGTCCGCAGGCTTCATTTAGTGATCCATCTTTTTCAGGAATTGGCATCAGAGCCTGAGACCCAACAATGGAAGGAAAATTATGAGACAAGCTCAAACTTCACAAAGTGCTAACTTCATTATGCTTGTCTCACTTTGTAACTTTGTGAAGCGAATTGCATGAGTTAAAATGCCCGAATTCTTTCTGGTTTTGACTTCGTTTGCCTTTCTCTTCTAACTAAAAACTTTTCACATTAATTGATTCATTAGAATGCAGAGCACTTTGATGTATTTTGTGAAGTAAAAGCATATCTGTATTTTGCGGCATTTTGATCACAGTGAAACTAATGTGAGAAAAGAGGTAAAAGACACACAAAGAAGCCGGAGCAAAATTTGTTCGCCGAACAAACGCGTTTTTTGCATTTATTCGAATGCTATCAATCATTATTTTTTCAGAACACCCGCACGTTTTGTTTGACTCGTTTGTTCAGCGGCTCATATAAATTCTCAGAGAACGTCATAACCAGAGCAGATTAAAAATTGATGAATTCGTTTCCTCAAATTCGTCAAACAATTCGGCTGAGCAAAATACCTTGTTCGGACAATTGCACTCAATTTTGGTGACATTAACGCAGCTATCTGTGACAATTTGAATGATGATTCGTAAAGCCATTGAACGGTTGAATTCTCATGCAGTCGTTTAATCCTTTCTCTGTTAAAGGTTATGCAACTACATTTACCAACTTTAATCACTTGAATGAAAAGATTCCACAATTTTCAACAACATAATTTGATCTGATTTCGACTCTCTGAAAAAAAAAGAAAACAAGAGGTACTCTCGAAAAGTTTGAATAGTTGAACACATTGAAGAGTAGAAAAAAATGAAATTGGTTCATAAGATAAACACGAAACGAAATGGGTCGATGAAGAAGGAAAGGTTTAGCGAGTAAAAGCTAGAGAAACGCTTAAAAAAGCATCTGCAATATTCCGGTTTTGTTCTTCAACATTCAGCGTCTCGCTGTACCTACAAAAGCCGTCTCAGAATACTTCAAGAAGGTCATTTATGTTTGTTTGCTTGCATGAGTCGCGTCTCTTTTCACTCATATTTTTTACTCATTCACGCTATTAGTATAATACTTAGATGCGTCCTTCAGAAGAAATGTCTTCTGCAAACAGAGTTTCACTTCGCGCTTCTGGTTGCGCATTTTTGATATGGGTGACAACTTCTTTGATGCTTACCTTGGCAATATTAGATTATTACCAGCTGTATACACAATTACTTTGCATGATATTATTGCCATTGTTCGCCCATCAGCAGCTTGAAAAAAAAAACGTTTGACCCGTGAAAAATTGTGAACGATGAAAAAAGTTTCTCGAACTGTGCATGCTTCATCAGTATGTTTATATGTTCATATTATTGTATTCAAATAATGAACACAAAATGACGAATAAAATGTGTTCCTCAATTCATCATCTAAATACGTGAACGCATCAAACCGGTTGCATTCACATCATTGCACGAAAACACCTAAAATCAAATACTGCTTCAAGTTCCATCATCGTTTCGTTAATCAATATCCATTAAAAACTGTAGTATCATGCATCTACACACAAGCAAATAAACGCTACACTGAAATGATCACGTTTATGCTCGTCTGATCTAACATGTCCAATAGTAGTGAAGATGATGACAATAACAGTGGACCCGATAGCAATAGTGATAATATTGTTGATAACAATATTGGTTAAAATGATAACAGTGCCGATGAAAAGGGAAACAGTAACAATAATAAAGCTACCAATAGGAATAATCTGTAGTATTATAATCATTTGTCAATAATGGCTAAACATTAATAATAGTGTTGATCATAAAGATACTTCATTAGTCTGGGACACTATAATTATTTGTTGATGATGGAATAATTAATACCATCACAATAATAATAATAATAATACCTATTATTTGTTATTATCACTGTTGTTCTCACCATGATTACTATTGTTACCGTTACTGTTATTAGCATTGCTATCGTATTGTGCACAACTTTATCATCATCATTACTGCTGAAACACACTAATTTACTGCAATCAACTTTTCGAGATTCTATGTTTGTGATGAATTTCTTTCAGTATGCTTCTCACTGACTTGGACGAAATCACTCATTCTGTTTGCTGCATTAGGACTGTCTCTTTCGGGTGGTCGGACAACAATTCGGGTACCTGGCAAATATCTGATGAAAATTTGTTAGAGGTCTGTGAAAAAAAGAGTTAAAAAGTTGGGCATTACGTGAGAAGAGTAGACTTAAGAATTCTAATAGCTGAGAATGGAATGAATAAATTCTCAAACTGAATCAGATGAATCATGAAGATCCGATGGAAATTTGGCCAAGAACGAAGATGGATTGAATAGAATACTGCAGAAAAATTTTTACAGTATTTTCTCAGAAAATAGGATGCTTTGATCCGTTTGAGTTGCTAATTTCAAGTGAAATTCATCCTGAATCTGAAGATGTGCCGTTTTAGCAGTCTTTTGAGAGAGAATATATACAAGTTGTTATGATGCTGGCGATTATGACTGCAGTAATAACAATGACTAATATTCGTAGTTCAACGGTTCTGTTTTTTTGAGCATTAGATGCAAATTTATATTAGCATTATTCTCACGATTATACTTCTGAATATGATAGAAACGATTCTGGAATGTAGAGCGTATCTGCACATATGGTTATGAAATGATTACTTTCGAAGGAAAGAGGCCGCACTAATCGCTCGCGACAATGAAATTCAGGTGATTGCTCCAACTTGATCGCCGAAGTAATTCATAACAAGAAAACAATTGGAACGTTGACTTGTGATAATAGTTACTTTCACGCACCCTCAAGACAACCTGTTCCAGCAGCTGTACAATTAATTAGTAATGTATGTGTGTACGTATGTATTTTTGTTTATTTCTTCATATACATGTATCAGTTATGTTTCGTTCATACTGTGCTTGTTTATTTCCGATCTTAGTGTGTTAAGTGTATTTTATTGCATGTGAAACTATTCATAACTTGCAAAGCTATTGCGATTGAATGATTATGACCGATTGGTGTGTCGTTGTTTGTGTCATTTTCACCTCATTTTTGTTGAGCACTTAACGCTCGTTTGGATTAACATACTATTGGAATAATCAAGTGATCTCTGTTAAGCTATCATCGATTCTTCTCAAAATCCATTCCTCGCAGAATAAAATAGAATATGCGAATATTCATCCATTAAAATATCGAATTATTTCTGGTCTTTCAGAAATCTGAGCACTGTGATGCTGTCCGTCATATTATTTGTTTGCATTATTAGTTGTGGTACGATCTTAGCCAGCAAGGACCTTCTTAGCCATGTGAGTCCTTTCCAATACTTTTTTGACGTTAAAATTTTTTGAAAGCCAACAGCGGAACGTTTTATTGCATCGCCTTTCACGTCAAGCGTCATCGATGGATGCTCGAAACGCCGGAATTAGAGAAACAAGTTTGGTCGCAAAAAATTGAAGCATTTACCGTATATCACGTGATGATTTCATAAATGCACACTTCTGATACCTCTTAATGTGAACGAATGGAGCGGTGTTCTCAGACCTCAAAAATCACATAGTTCGAAGTTTGAGGAATTTTGATTTTTTAGGCAACTCAAGTTGGAATGGAATTGTTGGAAAAATCACGAATTGAAGGCGTTACCATCAGAGAATGCTCGTGTCATGAGCAAGAAGTTTGTGTGAATCAATTTAAAGAGAACGCACACGTTTGCATCGATTCCTGTTGGTCAATTGTTGGCAAGGTGATTGACTCTTGCATATTCATTCGAATTTATTCGGTCTTGCCTCTGAAACTTCCCCGAGTAATACTTTAACTCTCAATTTCGAGAATATAAGGACCATTCGGCAATATCTTCAATCGTGAATTTGTATGAGCAGACCTTGCTGAATCGCACTGACTTCATGATGATATTCAAGAAGAGCGGTAGCATTATCATTCATTTCAGTTGACTGCACATCCGGATCAGTTACTGGACTGCTTCAAAAAGCAGCAACCATTGATAGATAGTTTCTTAAAGTGTATCGGTGCTAGCACTCATTCGTAAGTACATTTTTCTTGCGCAACTAACAGTTGTTTTTGTAGGTGTGTCTGTGACAGCTAACGCATTTTGACTTTCCACTGAGTTCGCCTTATTGGGAATTTTGCTCTCCAGTGAAATTTCGAGCTCTGCTTTTGTGACATCCTTCGAAAGTGTATATGCCCTTTTTCTGATTGATTCACATCCTTTCACAAGAATTAATCATCAGCAGGAAATGACTATTCGCCAAACGCACGTCGGGGTCATTTTGACCCCGACCCAAATTTTATTGAAAAGCTGATCGTCTATGAAGACCACCAAACGCAGTCTTCTGCATTTATGATCAACCACTAAATCAAATGTGATGGCAATCGTGCGAATGAATGTGAGCTTCACAGCAGCGCCGCCTTACCCATACGTCATATTATCTGGAGGACTTCAGTTCAGCAGCTGATTCAACCTCTTCACATAGGAATTGTGATACTGACGTGATGATGGACAATTCATGTCATATAGGAGATATAGAGATGAGCCAATAATAATGTATAAAGAAAGTCATGAAAGGAGAGCATTATTCCAGCTTCACATCAAGAAATCTCGAAGAATGAGGTTGAATGATGTTCAGTTCATGTTGCAAGAGCTTTTTCGTAAATTGTTATCAAGTAAAGGCCATATTTGACGCGGAATAACACTGGAGCTGATGAGTTCAAATCCATTCGGTGCATCAACTTAGTTTCGGTTGGAAATAAGAATTAACCGATTAATCGACCTTCACATAACGTGATCTGCCCAATTCACGTGTTTATCGTATTTCTCAAACTTCATCTAGTTTCAGATGTGTTCAAACAGAGAATGGCCCTCAGATCCCGAAGCAAGATATCCGTAAGCTAATTGTAGCTGGCGAGCAAGATTTCGAGACATCGAAAAAAAGTTTCATTCACAATCCTGCACTGCAACCTTATATGAGAATAGTAAATGGAGCACTCGATTTTGCAAACTGCTTCAAAGACTGTTATGTGAAAATGCATGAAAAAGGATTCTGCTTTGATAAGCAAGGGTGAGTTGTTAGCTAGCATGAAATAATGCAAGCATACTGCAACACTCTTCAAATGATGACGCAAAGCAACGAAATTTTAGCTGTCAGCCGTTGCTTCAAGGATTGCAAGCGAAGAAATTGTTGAAGAAGTGCGCTAAAAGAATCAATTGGAAAGCTGGTGCTGGTGAATTATGCGAGTGTTCATTGCATGCTGGTCTTAAGTAGGTTCTTCTGATTTCACTAATTTGCTTACTCGTAGTTGTTCATTCTGCTCTTTGCCTCAAAAAAATGTTGCCCAATATTGCTTTTGACAGTTTCGAGGACATTCTCACTTTTCAAAGAATTACTTTCCTATCAGAATACCAACGCTATTTAAAATTCTCTGAGTAAAATCAACTGTTTCATCGTTACTTTGGAAAAACGAAAATAATCAAGCAATGATCAATTTTCAGAGAACTGAAGAACTTCTGTCCGTTACTGAGAGCGATGACCAGAAAGATACAGGTGCATTGAGTGTGTTCTCATCAAAATGATACATCAACAACTGATCTGACGTTAATAAATAGTTCACTTATTTACTTCTATCGAAACCATTCATTTCATTCGGGTGTTGGATCGTATTCCTGACTCGAGGATATTAACAACCTACAGTAATCAACACCCAATAAGAAAGCAGAATGAAACCTTCGCTTGAGTTGATTCACTTCTGTTCTCTCTCTGTCGCTTTACCACACTGCTCGTTCACAAGACAAGATGAGATTGTTTTACTTCCATACCTGTTGCCAATTCCGTAGCGTCATTTGTTTCTGTTGATTAGAAGAGTTTTTTTCATGAATTAATTTGATGAATCATTTGTTGATTGTTTCATTTCCTGAATTATATTTAGAGTATTCTTTCTCCTGTCCTTCTTCCTTTCCTTTGTTACTCCACTCCTCGTTCATTCCTTTCTCGAGAAACAAGGGGAAAATTCTGCATTAAATGTGATTATTCAGATCGTCCTCTAGCTCCAATCCGAACAATTTTCGCAATTAAATTCCCTTATTGCTTGTCATGTTCCATTGTTTGACTTGATGTTCTTGCTTCGCAAGATTACATTCATATAATGTGTACAAACTACTCCAGTCTCATCAATGTGTTCAACTGCATTGTAGCGTTGTACTGACAGAACAATACGAACTGGCAATGAACCAGTGAACATGAAACCAATGAACGCCTACATATAAAAAAGAATAGCATTTGACTAAATATATACAAGATGACACAATAAACAACAACTACAAATATTGGATCACTTCGATCTTCTTGTAATGCTTGTTGACGAGATCATTGCGACCATCTGCACGCTTCCTGTTGATCGACTGTAGCAGTTTTTTACCATTTTTCAGAAACGTTCGGCTCATCTAAAGAAACAAAACTGTGTTAAAATATGCACATGTGTTAAAATATGAACCTCGTCCTAGCACTTTTGCTCTCCGAAATATTCGAAAGCTGAGATTGTCGAATGGAAAGAAAGACAGTTTTCAGTGGTAGATTTCCGACTCAATTTTTTTTTCAAACGGAAACGATTCGCTATCAACTGTCATATAATGGATGAGAACAATAACTAGCAGCGTTAGCTGACCAAAAAATTCATACTTGTCCGAGTTGATTTTGGTCGATCAAAGGATGACTGAATTGATAGCGAGGTTTCAAAATCATCGATGTACCCAACAGTTCACCTTCTTCAATTAATATTGTGCCTGAATTTATTGAACTACTTGATCTTTGTACTCAACCGATGAATCGTTTCGAAAGTATTTCTCTGTCAAATTTCATTTTTAAAATTACTTTGCGGCTGAACCAATAATTTTGATAAAATCGAATTTTGTTTCACTACTACCGTAACGTTTGCAGATTTATTACAGCATAATATTGCACTGCATCAACGATGAACAAGTGATTCATTGCAATTCCAACAAATCAAGAAACACTCATTTCTGCGATATTACGTGCCTCTCCAAGGAAATATTCTTCTTTCAATATTTCGGAGTTCTGTGTTGAATGACTCTTCAATTCAATGACTTGACAGATCAATACGTGGTACGTCTCGATTACTGAGATATAAGTCGCTATGAACTAGAGACTAGGATTTGAACGGGATTCCAAGACCCCGGGATTTGAGTCCTGATCTCGATCCCGGGATCCAAGTTTTAAAAAATCCCGGGATCTCGGGACTTGATGAAGCAAGTCAATTTGTATGAATTTGATAGCATGTTCATCTTCAAGCAAGCCTTAATTATTCCCAGCTCATTCATATGCAGTCATCTTTGTTGTTTGCCACCTATCATTGACGAATGGTCAAAGAAACAGATGCAAGTCAGACGAATGGCATTGATGAACTTTTACATAACATTTCATTGAACATTCATCTGATTATTCTACTCTTCATTAGTTTATGTCAAGCTCATCTGGATGGATTTCTAGGCAGACTTATGGAGATAATCACATTTTCTAATGAGAACCAAGAACAATAAAATTCAATGAAATTTTGAATTGTTTCCTTCCACGCGATTTGTTCGGCTTCAATATTCCATCGGTTAATCAACTGCATGTTCCAAAGACTGCAAGTCTCTTTACTTCGCTATTTTGGATCATTTCCGTTCGATGGAAATGTACACAAATTCTCATTGAGATCACTCATGGTGAGAATTCATTGTTGAAATGGGCGAAACTGTTCCATTCAAAAGGATCTTATGCTTGAATATCAACTACATTTCCATGATCTCTGATCGTAATTATCAAACATGTACAATAANTGCTCGATGGTTCGATAAAAATCTATTGCAGATGTTTTTTTCCACTTTTTAGACAAACTTTGAACTTTTAATTTTTTTTTCAGAATTTAAATGCTTTAATTTATGCGATGTACATGTTTCATGAAAAATCAAAATTTCCGAAATGCCAGAATTCAGTTGATGTTAACACTGAGAGCATATGGACTTGATGCATTGGAAATAGGCGTTTGGGTATCAAGAACTTCATATTTACATGTAGGTGAATTGTTATTAGCTTATCGTTAGACCCAAGATGACAAGATGCCTGACAATGAGCATAGAAAATATAGTGTGCTTTGCTACATAATCATCAGTATCATCATATAAAATATTAATTTGAGTTTGAATAATTTGTTTTGTTGTATTTGTTGAATAATTTCTTGAATGAACTCCTTTCTGATTAATTATGAACGTATTGGTTCAACAAATGTGTTTGAACATGTCACGCATCGATATTTCAAAAATTGTTCGATCCTGGGATAATCCCAGGATCGAAAACCGACCCCGGGATTAAATCCCGATCCCGGGATTTAAGAAAACGTCGGAATTTTGCAAACCCTATAAGTGACATACCTGAATTGCTGACTGAACTGATTGCCACTAGTGGCGTTTCTTCAGGGCGATTTCGAATCGATAAAAATCCGTTCATAATATGCTGATCACGCGGATCGATTTTGCTGATTGCTATAGATCTAAACTTGTCTCTGATGAGGAAAACCACGTCAACTGGTTGATGATTCAGGATTAGAAGATCGAAACAAACACACAAAGTCAGAACGAAAGAAAGAAAATGTATGTTAAACATGATCTGAACGAACGTTTCTTAAAGTGTCAGTGAGTTTCTCGAATCACCACTTACTAAAAACAATAAAGACCACTCAAGTAAAGTCTCAACTGTAAGAGGAATGCTCGTGTTACTCACGTGAAATTAATGCTTGGTGTACCGAACATAAGCGGAGTTTGAAGCGAAATCGTCAACGTTTCCACATAGCCGTTCGAATGAAAGTCAAACGGAAAATCAATTGTGTTATTTCGAGTGCCTAAACAAAAGACAGTAAGATTCGTATTTGAGGAGTATATTGCATGTTAGGTTGAAGAAAGACAAATTAAGTAAGTTGATAATGAAAGTTTCCGATTAAATCTATTCTCTGATCCACTTAACGGTTTATATAAAGCATAACTGACCATTCACGTCGGCTTTCCAAACGCCTAGCATCCATGCCAACGGAAGGAGGGTTGTTGGTATAGGCGTTTTCGTTAAAGCTATAAATTGTAGATATTTAGTGATATAAAGCTACAAATATTCCATCAGTTTTTAAAAAATGCTCATTGGACATCAAAACATAGTAACTGAATTACGTTTGAAAATATCAATGAAGGAATTAACGAAGGAGATTCTTGTCAAACAGGAGTGAGTGACTGATAATAGCTTGCTAGTGAAAAAAAANAAAAAAAAGCGAGAGTAAAACAATGAAGGCAGTATGTTTGAATGGATGTTTATTGAGGGAGAAGCACTTATGATCGATAACCTGTCGAATTATTTGCAGTACATTGCTCGCACGAAACAGCACAGTTCAGGTCATAGAAGTTTGTGTGGTAGCGCATGAGCTCGCACTGACCTTGACGTTGCCATAGCTTGCAACTACCGTAAATATCTTGACAAGGTCCTAAAGATCGACGTAGATTAGCATTTAGAATGTAGCCAATTCGTAAAGTATTATATGGTCACACTCACGATCGCAGTTCTTGCCCATCCAACCCGATTCACATACGCACTCATAATCGTTCCATTTGTCGATACATTTTACTGCATTCTTACAGTGCCGAAAATTACATTCGTTGATCTCTGAAAGAGAACGAAGACGCTTGAGAAAGGAAAGACGCTTGTGTTGATAATTGAGAAAAGTAATTTCCTCCGAATTACTCTTTTGTGAGCATCAGAATCGCTCGAGTAACAATCGCTCAAAGAATGAGGAACAAACCTCGTTCACAGTGTTCACCCGCTGAACCTGATGGACATTTACAACCCAATTCACCGTTTCGTTTCTCGGTACAAGTTCCATTGTGCTTACAAAAATTGACGCCACAATCTCCTGATGATTTCGAAAAAAAATGCGATTGGGTTTTTAGAATACACGCAGAAACACTTTGAATGCTTGTCAGAGGGTCCGTTAGACATAGTGAGATAGCACGGGGCGTAAATATCCAAAAAATGAGTTTGAAGGTCAAAATTGGGAATATTTCAACTTGAATTAATTTGGTTCCGTAAACATTTTTTCTGTCTGAGCTTTGAATTGAGAGCTCGAACATATAAAAGTATGCAGCTATCGATTCCGAAAATAAATACATAGAAAAAATGTAGTGAAACAAAGATAAAAAGGAATAATCATTAAAACAGTCTCAATTTTACTTGTGCACAATCGACCCGTGTAATTGGGCAAGCACTCACAAGTGTAGTTAACATTATTGTTTACACATTCTCCAGCGACACAGCCATGATCGATGCAGTGATCCACTTCTTTAAAAGGTATTCGTTTCAACTGCTCTTGTTCATTTCAAAGGCATGAGCTGCATTGCGATCCAAGAAAAAACAATGAAAAAAATGATCGGATAATAACGAAAGTATCCTGCTACCTTCACACCTGATTCCCGTCCATCCAGGTGCGCAATCGCAAAGAAAACCATCAATTCCTTCTCTATCGCGCACACATTTGGCTCCATTCTTGCATTGATCCTCCTTACATATTGCTGAAAAATTTCAATCAACAACAATTTCTTCGTGGTGATTTGGTTCATAAAAAGTTTAGTGAAGGTCCTAAAATTCTTCAGGAAAACAAAAATATCTTATTTCTGTCCAAAAGTGGAAGATGCCCAAAAAATCAATGATAAGCTCAACCTGGTTTTCTTGTGCTCATCGTTTTACTGAGTACGATCGTAGTGTTGTGGTCATTGTTAGAAGTAATAATTTGCTCAGTGGATTTTGTTTCTGCAACAAATTGTGGGATAATTCTTGGCTGAGAGGGCGGAGAGAACGGTAAATTGGGGCGAAATGTTCTCGACAGAGACGAATCTTCGCCTGTTGACACTGCATTCTTTTGCGAGTTAAACGAATCGGATTCACGACGCAATTCCTCGAAGTCATTCTTATACTGAAGCATCAAGTCTTTCAAACTTTCGCGTTGTTGTCTGAAACATTCAACTGTCATTCTCAAAGTGATCGTATGTCATTCAAAACGCCTTATCTAATAGGTTGTTTTGAACTGATCAATAATTGCAACATATTCATTTCTAGTGACCATCCATGCTCTAATGCTCCTGATATCTTAGAACTTGCACAGCTAGTTTTGTTGACTGTTTATCGATGATGAAGCTGAAATGACAAGAAGATAAAACAATTACACATCAACCGTACATGAACTGATCTGTGGTAGTCAATGTTTCTAGAGTAGTTCGTGAAGAAGGAGAACTTGTAGTAATGGTGGAAGCGATGCCATTAGAAACGTCACCATCCTTGCTTTTGCTTATATTCGATCGATAAAGTTTTTGCAAGCCGGTCTCGAAACGTCGCTTTTTCTCTATAAATTTAAAGTTTGTTCGATAAAATCATGTGGATATTCGTCATCAAAATTCTAAGAGCTGAAATGATCGGAGTTTCAATAACAATAAAAGTTTGAATGGGTGATAGTGCTATTTGTGCCGTCACTCCACTGCAATCAAGTGGAAATTAAGGGGTTAGTGAAGCGAAAATAGCATCACGGATGAAATTCATGTACGTAAGAAATGTTGTTTGAATTGTGCGGTACGATTGAGACGATTGAAAATTACTATCGGTGGTGATAAATCGAAGTCAGCCTGAAAATGATCAGATGTCATATTGACCAAATGAGTGTGATTGAAAATGATGAATGCCCGTTGAATTCGCACAACAGAAATGTGTTCAAGTGATAAAAACAGATGCAACAGTCAGCGAGTGTGACCAACCCGTTCACTGGATGTGAGCCTTAAGTGACCAAACACTGGCGTAGGTCCATCAAAAACGGCGATACCATGTAGTCTGTGAGGTTTTCCCAACGAACTGTTTTCAGCGCTTATTGCAGTGTCTAAAGCTCAAAACAATCTCAATCGTTCCCTAACTGTTAGGCTTGAATTATTTTTCTTGCTATGCTCAGTGCAAACAAATATTTCATTGAGAATTTTGAATCGCGCTTGTATATATTCTTATCGTCCATTTTATCCAAACACGCACTCGCGATAGTAAGAACAAGTAAAAGAGTTGGTGAACCAGAATTGTATTCATGCCTCTTCCATATTCGCTCGCTCTGAGCGTTTAAACATGTTTCTGAGTGCAGTTTTGACTCGTTAAATAAACGCTCACATAAACATTATGAAAAAAAAAGCTTTTAGTGCTTGACAGTGCGTGAAGAAGAATGCAAATGAAGCAACGGAAGGACAGCATGATAAAAGAGAGATGTGGTCTCAATTGGTCAGCTGAATATGTGCTTAGGCATGCACAGCAATGAAACAACAAAACAAGATCGATGAAATACGAATTCCTAACAGTCAACAAATTTTAACCGAACTGTCATTGAAACAAGAAATCTTGAAAATTGAAGAGTGGGATGAAAATACAAAACACTGCTCACCCTTTGACACAATCGATTCCATAAGTTGGTAAAGAGTTCATATTGTTCGCTCAAGTCTAATATTTGCCTCTTCAGTGATGTTGGCTCAACAAAAAATTGTACTGGCACTAATAAGGAGAATTGACCAAACGCTTCGAATGAATTTTTGGATGAATACTTATGTTGAATACTTAACTGGCACTTTTTTTTTCGAGCCTCATTATCAGATTTACCTTAAGTATTGTGACAAAATATGAAATTTGTTGCCCATTTTCTAAAATTTGCATTTGACATGTAAAGGAAGAGTACAAATCCGAGATAAGTTTAATTGATAGTGTTAACTAGTGAAACTGAATGAACAATTTCCCTCAGGTATCCAGTCAACTTTAAAAGTAGGACGAAGTGTTTCGGCAATCAACAACAATATCAACCACTGATTGTAGTTAGAATTAGGATTATTTCTTAGTTCAGAAATAGTTAAAATTAGTGATATTATTTCTTCTAGCACGGCTGATATGACTGCTATCAAGTGCATCATTATGATTAGAGCCGATAACGTTACAATATTTAGAAAATAACGACTGCTGTTGGCATTGCTAAACTGCTTGACTCATTATTACTAAGCATCAAACAATGCGAAAATTTGTCACGTATCGTGTGTCTGTTTGAGCTTAAAATCGAACATTTATTGCACTTCGATTCGTTATACTACTACATTTCAGAATGCTGAGGCGCCACACTCCAAAATGCTCCATTCTTATGCGAGTCCATTCTTCTGCTTTTCGCAAGCATAATTAGATATTTCCCAATGATTCAAACATATCTTCATGTGATATACACTGTGAGATACACAATCTACGATGTGATGAGTATGTTCGATTCGGAGCATTTTGAAGCGAAGCATTCATTGGAACATTTGCGATATGCAGCCAATAATAGCGTCAACCAATTGAATGATGCAGCCTAGATTTATGCACATCCTGAGAGTTTGAATCCTTTCTTTGTTACTTCCACCTGTGCTCTCAGGCCAGCAATTAAAGTTCATCTCAGAAAATTTGCCCTTCTACTTACAAATATACACTTTCAACTGAAACCATCTCTATTGGACTCACTCAATGAAAAAGAAAACCAATATCGGAGTTGAACGCCGTTACCATTTCTTGTTTGCGCAATTTCAGATGAATGTTCTAGTCAGAACTTATATTCCTTCAACCGAGACCTCAATCTTGAATCAAAAAAAAAAGATATTATGAGGCAGATCAAATAACAGAATAGTGAGAATCAAAATCGAGATGAGAATTATCTTACAGAACATTACGAATTAAGTTGAAATGACTTAACTAATAACACTAAAAATAACCGAAGATACAATAAACGAAAACTAGTGATCGTTAGAACGAGTAAACAACCTCAACCACTATAGAAGTTTGTTTCAAAGAGATTGGACATGCATAGTTTGGAGTTTGGGTAGAAGTGGCCAGATATGAAGGTAGCCACAAAAAAATTGTGATGAACACAGTGAGTTCAAAAAATGAAGAGCAAGCCTTCGAAAATTGCTAAGTGAGGTGAATATGCATGCAAGCGAATCTTTAGTCTCTAATGGCTGCCCGCTTACCATGAAATAACAAAACAAGTTATACTTCTTATTCATCTGCATAAACTATTACTGGCAATTTCTGTTTCTCATGCAATTCCATAATACAAAAAGTTATGAACTCAGCATTGATTAGCTGAACGTTAGAATTACAGGATATAAAAAGAGCAAAGAGAATACAAGCGCTGCGCATTGTTAATCGAACAATAAAATTCGATGTAATTACGCATCCAAATAGTATCGAAGCCATGTCTAGTTGGGGAATTCAACCAACTGTTTTAACGCAGGCGAATGTTTCAAACAAGCAAAGAGCAGAACGATGAATCAAGCTTCGAATGCAATCAATCTACCGTCAACTGAATGACATAAAAGTATTCGACCAAAAGTTTAACTTATCATTTGTTTCACCTATATGTATGAGCGAACAGCATCGATTGTTCATCTTGGAAAATGACTTGAAGGTAGAGCTGTGTAGAATCGCAGGATCATAATCATAGCTTTCATGTACGTTATGCGGAGGGATTTTTTAAAGAACTACTCAACATATTCAATGCACCAAAAATTAAGCCTCTTAATGAACGAGAACTCATTTAGCATGAAACCAAACACTTTCTTTCTGAAAATTGCATTTTGATCTCACATTACCAAAGAGAAAACTGAACACAACAAATGTTTCAGAAGTTTTTGCAGTGTCAAAAACATTTCGGAAAATTTCGAGCATTGATCGATTTTAAAATGAGTCAATTTCTGTCAGATATGTGATGTCGACTTGCACGATTAGTTCGAAAAGTTGCAGCGAACTGATACCATGAACTTTAACATAAAATTAATGGATGCACTCTAGATTGCAATCAATCATTAATTGTAGTGCTAAGGGGCGTTGCTAGAAGCGAATAAATGATTGAGATGCATATCAATCTGCCGCCAAGCAATTTTGAATGCAGCAAGAATTCATTTGAAAATTGCTCAAATTCAATGGACGAGCATTTTAGTCGACTTTTGCTTCGCTAAGCATATTACGTTGTCACGAAACAATTTTTAACAGTGCTCTGTGGGCAGTTCTTTTTTTTTCAACGACTGTCCAAGAGACACGCACAAACTACTAGCAAAACTAACTTTCCCGAAATATATTGATCTAGGAGACTACTATGTGTTGAAGTTTAAGCAAGATCTAAGCTGAATCCAGTGTCAAGCGCAACGCTAACGCATCTAACTTGGATAATAATCTAACATAAATAAATAATCTAACATACAAGAGCTGATCCCAAACTGTTTGAATTTATTCATCATACAAGAACTTTTCAACATCGTACGATTTTTTATAGCTGTGCAAGGATGAACGATATGTGTTAGCACTAAAATCACTCAGCAAAATTTTGGGAATTTTTTTTTCGGGAAGCCGGGCAGCCAATTGAGTGAGGTCACTTGGAGATTCTTGAAGAAGTGTTTGATAATTTTGGTGTAGATTATTTGATGGGTGTAGTGTGTGTTGGTGTTGTTGGTCAACTTGATGATGGCTTAGTGATGAGCGTATACCCGCTAATCGCATAGCAGCTTTTTCGTCCGTAAAAACCTCGTTGATTATTGTTATACGTCTACCGCGAAAACTGATCGGTTGAATGAAACCGGAACGTGGACGCCAGCGCTCCCAATAGATTTCGTCTTCTTCGGCAATTGTTAACCTAAGTGATCAGGATGAGAAAACAGCATGAAAATCCAGTAGCCAGCATTTGCCTTTCAACTATTACTTCAACTTTTTTGAAATATACTTAGCACTGGAAGTGAATTCATTGAAAGCAGCACCTGAATGTAACGCATAAATTCCGAATTTTCGTTACAGAACTGTTAGAGTAGTGCTTATTCTTCTGAGAATAGAGATAGGTTGTATTTTTCAAGATTTTCATCAAATACGCGCTCTGCTGTTGCAAATCCATAAGAGAGGATAGACGAGAAGTTGTGAAACAATCAAGTAATGCGTTCACTCACATGAACTGCACCGCACCAATATCCTTATCAGACGTCCATTCGAGCTGAGTGACGAATTTACGGCTATCGTCCGAATGTGTCACCGAATCAGCCGTTGACATACGCAGATCACACTCTTGTAGTCGAATACCATAGCTATCCCATGCAGGTGTCTCAATGAAACGACCACCTTTCAGTGAACCAATCAAAAATCCGTTTTCATTCGTTAAACGACTTTGCAGTAATAGACCACGATAGTGAACAAATCCTACCAAGCGCACTAAAAATCAGTACATGGACAATAATATGTCAGTTTTATGAACACACCTCGGGTTACGATTTGTGTATTCAGTTTTAGTGAGAGAAAGAATGTTGCCGTGATATGATCTTTTTGTGAAAAACAGTTCTAAATCGACACATTCCTTTTTTTAATGTTCAAATCCGCTTCATTCTACCGCGTTCGACCTTGCGCCTTTAATTGTTTCGCATCTTAACGTGATATCTTAGTCAGAAACTGCAGACAGAATTGAAAGGAGAGAGAGGATCGAGTGAAAATAAGGGAAGAAATGACGAAAAAAATCAACACAGATTGCAACCGGTTTGAAAGTGCGGTCATCATCATTGTTGTCATCTCAGATGTTAAGAGACGGATAAATAAAAGGAAAAACTCCTAATCCGTCACCAACTATCGTCTTAATTAATCAGTTTAATTAACATTGAAGATGACACTCTCAAAGCGCATCAGCTATAAACTAAATTATTAATTTTTTTCTTCAGATCGCAACACTGCTCAATTGGAAATATTCTCAAACGCTCAGTGTCATTTTGCTTGTAACCGCGCGTAAAAAACATCCTAGAAATCTAGTCACTATGAATGCTTTGGAAGACAAATACTGATCTATTCCAAACGCTAACCAGTATAGATTTTCCCCGGCTCATAATAAGAAGTTTTTTGGCCATTCGAATCGAGAAATTGAAATTCAAAAGGTGGTTTCGTAGTCTGCGGTTGTCCATGCACTTGTCGATTCATACGCATCGAGTGTCGCATCATGCAGTGAAAACCGCTCATTTCGATGAGCGCCATCGCACTCTCTACCCACAAAACGCCTAATAATAGCGTTCGTGGGTTCATTCCTGCAATGATTATCTGAGTAAATGAAAACAAAAAGTCTTAATAACAGCATTCATTGAAACACGACAAACCGCACAAAAAAATCAAATCTCTGTTCTATCGAAAGCGCAAATCAAAACGAATAGACCATAAACGTTTTCCGCGAGCGAGCATTTTAATGGAAGAAAGGTCAGAAGTGGTGATCGGGTGAATAATGTACGAATGACTGCCGGGAACAATAACGCTAAAATGATGTGCTCACAAAACTACCAATGAGTAGTTTGAAAAGATGCATAGCCAAGTTCAAACAGAAGATTTGTGATGAAAGTGGGTCAAAGGGCCGTTCAGCTCCATGAGTGTTAGCGTTACTGATGAACAAATGCGGAAAAGATAAACGGAACGTCATATCTTGTCCGTGACACTTGGTTGGTCGCTAGAAATTCATAGAGATGCTGAAAAGGAATGGGCAGCTAACACTGAACTTGTATGAATAACCAGAACTTGATTCACTGAAGGGCTGCGGTGTTTGTATCGTTAGTGGGTTGTGCATCTAAACATTCAAGAAATTCATAATCAGACTAAATCTAAAAGAAAACGTTATACAAACATCTAGGAATGCGTGAAAATGGCTTTATAGAGACCTGAAACGGAGGAGGCAGAGCAAGGTAAATGTGATTCCTTGAACTGGATTACCAGCAAGGTGGACAGGGCTGCATGCGGAAACTGGTGGTTGACAATGAATCGATGCATCTAGTTTGTGGAAAAGTTCGAAAATTGACCATCATTTCAAAAAAAAAATGCCGTTGTTGCGTTCATAATAACTAATGTTTTAGCAGGAAGCGTCATATTTAATCCATTAAATCACGAATTCATCAATGGAAGAGCTTACGCCTCTTCTAAATCAGTGTTCTTCATGCGGCAACAGTTCAACGAATTTTTTACCGTAAACGTGATGAAAGAACAGAATCATTTCCTGAAAGCTTTTTTAAAAGAGTATTTTTCACTTGATCTGATTCATGCACTGTTTTAGAATTGGATGCGGAAGTTTCGTGACTTTTTGGGCTAATTATTTAGATGCTTTCCTATGAACACAAATAACATTGGCAATTCACTGTGTACATCTCGCTAAAAGCTGTCACTCGTTTTTGAATATATTTCTTACATTGAATTTCATATTGTCGCGGCTCAATCGTTGAATGCAGAAGAATATTTAACTGCAGTGAAATTACAAGCAATAATATTTCACAAAAATAGGTTAACGTGATCAATCACAAGAAAACAAAGAAGGAATTTCGGAACGGCTATTAACATGCTTCTTTTCTGCTAAATATGCAGGTGTTCACATGACAAAACGAGTTGAGATCCATGAGGTGAGCAGCAAATGAGAAGCGGCAAACGGCCAATGAAACGAATGAAAATGATTAACTTTCGTTACTCAAACAGCGATAATCCGAAACCTTTAGCAATACAAGATCAGTGAAGAACTGATAAATAGAAACATGATCAGGATTTGCGCTCATAAAAACTAATTTGTGATTAAAACGGATTTGAAAACGATCAAAAGGCGCCTTGTAAATACATCACATTCCGTATAAACAAACGATGCAGGAACATTGTGGCGATCGACTGATGACTAGTTACTTGGTGAATTATTTTTTAAATTGGATTTTTTTTTTGCAACGAGGAATTCCAAGGAGAATTTAAACTTGCGTTTCTGTTAGGGCTGAACGTTTCTGTGAAGCAAATCGAAGACAGTCGGTCTGGTTCGGATTTGAACCGAAACAAATTTGTTCAAAAAAAGTGAAAGTACTTCATAGCTGCCATTCTTGAATAGAGCCATCACATGTTTCATTGTCAAGAATAAAAGTCCAGTGCAGTCATTTGATTTGTGCTCAATGTACACCTGTCGCTCCTAATTCGGAAAATCGATGCTTTATGTTGCTTTTTTGCAGATTTTTTTTGTAGGTAAAATAAATAACATTGAATAGAAGCTTTAAAAAATTGAGTAAGCATCGCAGTAAATCGCTACTGAATAAAAGCTGTGAAGAGCTAATCGCAGAAACAATGTCCAATTGACGCTTGTGTATGTATTTATCGAGATTATGCTAAAGGTTACGAACTGAAAATGATTATGTCCAGAGTACAAAACATATATTTCGAATGTTCATTTTTTGTAGATGAGTGTAACTGTGGTCATAAGCGATCAGTCAATGATGATAATTCAACGGAACAACCAATCACACACACATTTTGATCATAATTCGTCACAAAATCATGCATATCAACGTATTTTTGCAATAAAATTATTCAATTCATATGAGAAATTTTATTAAAATTGCATATAAGGCAAATGCGAAATTTTGAGCTGGATCTCATGCGTGCTTCCGGATTTCGTTAAATGAATATCGCCAGCGATTAGTGAGTGCAAGTCAGAGAACGAACGATATTTGCGGTGATAAAATTAAAATTGGAGCAGTCAACAAAGGAGGTAAAGGTGACATTCAGAAATGTTTACTATACTCCTCATTTTCACGTAAACGATTCGAATTTGAAGGTTGTGGTGAAGACAAATATAGGCAGCTAAAATTTATGCTCACTTCAAAATATTAATCAACAATACAGTGGAAATTTTAAAAAGTGCCCATTGAATGTACGCTCGGAACAATGAATGAGACTTCATATAATGGGCATATTATCAACCGCCTTGTTGATACAGATCGTCGATAATCCATTCAAATGAAAAATCCACCGGTAGCGTTTGAAACTATTAAGTTCTATCCATCCGATATATGGGAACGTTAGTAGAATGCGTTGGACTATATGAAGAGCCACAAGTTTGACTGATTTGATTGAAAATGGTGTAATCGGAAAGTGGTTTGTCTCACTCCTTTTCAGCGAACTTGTGCAACCGAGTAGAGAAACAAAATTATCGTTTCGCAAATACTGCAATGATTGTTCCAGTGATCGCAACAATGGAGATCGCAACGATGGGAGCAATAATGACTAAACTTACGAGTACTGACCATATTTTTTGGATGTTGAATCAACAGTTTTAGTCACCAGATGCTTACAAGTATAAATATGCGTACACGTCTAAGGCTTCACCTTACTGTTGGTTAATTGAAGAGAGAAATTTCAACAATGCACCTGCCCCAAACGCGTGGATTGAGCAGATGAGTATGCTCGGAGGGGCAGGATTTTAGTGGGTGCGATTTATGGCGACAAAGCGTCCACCAAATACAGGCAGAACCCCTCCCGGCGAACGGGCGACATTCCTTGTTGATCGTGCCCCGAGGGCATGCCACCAACTCGATCAAATACGTACGTGCACGCACAGTCAGTGTCATTCCTCATCGCATCCCGATCAGCATTGACACCTGAATAAAACAACATACTTATGCGTAATTCATCAATCTGAACTATTCAGCGCCGTGTGTGTTCCCTGTATTTTCGCCTTCGGGGCAATCTTGGTGCTGCGATTATAGTACATTTAATAAGTTATGTAATTATTTTAAACTGTACTTGCGAACTCATACATCACCGTATGCATATATTCTTGAAAATGATTTGGTGCAATTATAGAATTTCAGTGAGTTTTTGAACATATAGACGTGAGAATATTTTCTTTCGGTTTCTTTCGTGGCGATAGGTCCAACTGAATGATGATCAACGAACCTGATTGAAACGCGATCTTTGACCAAAATTACAAATACAACGTATTCAGAGAAAGATTATTAATAGAGCAGGCTGTTATTGGTATCGTTATTGATGCCCTAAACATTCAGTGAGACGTTGTAGAAAGTAACAGAAGGCGCAATATAGAATGTATTGTTTGTGCAATTATCAAGATCAAGAAAGCAATCGAAATCAGATAGTGGACAAACGTTTTGTTTTGTGAGTATTTCGCAGGGAGGTGAGTACATGACTTGTTTAAGGTGCTGAGAATGTGAGGACTATAGCAAAACATCATTTTTCACGTTGATCGTTCGAATGAAACACAGGGTGCAAGTGAAGTTCGGTTTGCAATATGCAATTTCAATACTGCACTTTACATGCTATTCAAAAACTCATTTTGTTCATGATTATTAATTAAGCTAGATATTGAACAGGACTATGTTGCATATTGTACTGGTGAAAATAGCTCTCTGACGTTATCTCCGGTAAACACTCCAGAAGAAATTCTGCACCATTTGGGAATAGAAGTTAAATGCTATGCACAGTTATGTTGGGTGAAATGCTACGCATCCTCCTTAAGAATCCATCCTATTATGGTCGTCATTAATGCATTATTCATTCATCTTTTTGATCATGTATTTGATCACAACCGCACACTTAATTAACCACTCAACTAGTCGTCGTCGCCTTTTTTACCATGACTGCTGCTCATCACGACAGAAATGTGAACATAATCAAATCAGTGAGCACTGATCCATCAATCCGTGTTCAAGTTGACGATCGGCGGTGAATAAGCACCAAACTCGATAACGATTCAATATCTTTCAGCATGATCACGCAAAATTTCAGATGGACAAAACAAAAAAGAAACAAGACAAAATTTCGTTGTCATCTCACCCATCATCATTTTGTTAATGTCAAGGTTTCGTTGTCTTTTTATTTCCAGTTCAGAGTTCTTTTCATCTCCTCCTTCGAATCAAGCTCTTTGTGAGAATTCTCTTTCACGTTGCATTCACTTCTGGTATTCAATATTTGCGTTATTGTCCTCCCCATATGTGGATTCCGTTTCTCAAACACAAAGTGTAATGAATGAACCACTAAACCAGCAATAAACGAAACCTCCTCACCGGCGTCTCGTTGTCATTTCATACATCTGTATGGTTCAAGATGAACATGTTAAATCGAACGATCATTACTTGTTCAACTGGATAAAAGAACAAACGTGAATGTTGAATAAAAGTGACAAGAAAAAACGTGTTTTTTGATTTCGTTCTTGTTTTCGTCATTATTATGATCATTTTGATTTTCGTCATTAATGGTGTTTTATTAATTTGCTATCACGATTTCAATAACGTATTCTGAAGTAGAAACGATAGTACTGATGATGTACGCAACAATAGTAATCACAACAATAAGTATCATAACTGACAAGAAACGCCACCATTCATACGAATGTAAGGACATCAATAATGAGAACTGCAACGGGGAATTTAGGGTGAATGAACGAGCGATAAGCAAGGAAAGTTCGCAGACTCATTTTGAAGCAGAATAAGTTCTTGAAATGATGCATCGGATGAATTCTGTGATCAAATTGCTGGTAGCGGATTTGGGAAAGAAATAAGAAGAGAATTCAATAATAAACTTGCAGAATTATCTCGTCTGATCTCATAAATCTGATCCAATGCAAACGCATTCATTTGTTTATCAAAACAAAGAAATCTTTAGATTGATGAGAACAATCATTCAAAAAAGTGGCAGTGACCATGAAACTGATTGAGAAGAAGATGTTGAAGTTTTTTATCCAATCTTATCCATCTCTCCTGTTCTATGTAAAATCTCTTCTCATGAGATCAAAATATGACTGTTTTGTTTTTCGAAACGTCGAACTGCTATCGATTTCGCCATAACTAGAAAAGAATATCATGATCTTCGTCTCTTTAGAAATGAGCTGTCACTATGACGTCTCAATCCAGGATCCCATTTCCACATTGAACTTCTCTCGATTAGTTCATGTATGGTGACTGATCTTATTTCTTGCAAACTTTTGATTGAGTAAAAGGATTGCACTCAAAAGCAGTGAAAGCAAAAATCCATGGATATAGCTAGAGTTGATTTCAACGATTTCTACTGTCAACTCGAAATACACACCGTACACATAATTAAAATACTAAATTTGATTGAATGGCGAATATGAATATGAAGTTAAATGGAAACATAACATTTGAAAGAAAGGAATGTATAGCCGGTATCGTACGAATCGCGTATGAAACATGATAAGTAATAAATAATATTATGAATGCCGTTTCAATGCAAAGTTGCATGCCCACCCACAATTGTGTACGTCGAGCATGATAGTGATGGTGATAATGACATGGATTATTTGACTTCGATGAACCGAATGATTGATTCGTTTCTTTAGCGCCAAATTCATTATCCTAACCCATCAAAATGATCAACCGCGATTTCAGACATATGAATTATGATGTAATGATTGCGAAGGAAATTATAAGTGAATGATTACAAGATTTGATATTGGAAATTAGTAACACCTGAATTTATAACTCTATTGTTTGCTGGCAATTCAAAAACCTTTTTCGTTAAGAATTTGGCTGGTGTTGCGCACAACGGACAAGTTTTTGAAGTTGGAAAGCTTTATTGAGATGGTCACAAAATACAATCAAAAAATGAAAACGGATATTTCGCACATTCCGAAGAAGTCATCATGAAGGATAATCGCTGTGTGGACAGACAGGATAGGGTACTATGCCTGAGATTGATAAGGTGTCTCTTGAAACGGATCCTGCGAGCGTGTTCCTCCCATCAATGGCTCGAACGGATCCCGCTGAGAAACCTGAATCATTTAATTAACAAATACTCACGAAGTGATATAACAGATCTGGCTTGATGCAAATAATTGAACTCATACCTGTTTAATATCAGTTAAACTCGAATACTATATTTTAGATGCGTGATATCAATGCAGCTCATATCAGTCGTAATGATGCGTCTTAAAATCGATGCAGTAAAACCAAATCACTCAAGTAACAAGCTTTTTCCAGTACTCAACTACAATTCTCTTATCAGATCGCAAACCGCTGTATTCCTCATTCACTTCTCATGACAACAAAAAATTTCATGTGTTGGTCATTTAATTTTTTCAAAATGATTATTACTTATTTATTTTCTTAATCTCAGCAGGAAATAATAATTGTACTAATGCTATAAACTGAGAGCATTCAACAGACTTCTCTGATTCAAGTTCATTCACGGCTCGATTTTGGAAGTTCACTGTAAACAGAAAATCATTTAACGCGTAAGTCAAAATGTAAGTCAAAATAGACGCGTCAAAATGTTTTCATGAGTAGTAGCCTTAAATACTTTAAGAGATCAAGTGATTACGAGCCTCAGTGATTATACCTGTATTTTATCGAATAGCAAAAATGCTGGAATTGCATAAAGTGCCATATGTAGCAGCATAAACATCTGAAAATCTTTTGTTCATTGATCTTATGGAAGCAATAAAAATGAATATGCGATTAGATAATCTTTGAACAAAGTGTTTAGCAAAAATGCTTGGAATTGATATGACAAAGGAGTTGATTCAGAAGAGATCCTCTACTAAAAAATTTGCCTGGAGTAGATTTTGATAGTAGGCAGAAATGTCCGGTCACAAGGCTTTTAATAATACAAGTCATGCGATACGATAAAGTTTAAAGGGTTCGCCATGCTAAGGCAATGATTAAGGTTCGTTAAAAATGCTGAAAAGCATTCTCGAAATACGATTAATTACATACCCCACCAGCCACATAACCGCCAGAGGGACCTTTGACTACCAACTGAATGAAGCTGAAGCAAAGCCATACGCTCACAGCAGATAAGATCGTGAAAACAAATGAATAAATCAATTCCTGAAACATTTGGCATCTGATCAAGCTGGAATGGTGGTCGTCATAAGTGAAGGCTTCAAATATCTTAAGCTCCAGCCATCAGAAAAAAAAACGAATTTCAAAACCAACAAGAAGTATAAAATCAACTGTTTTGAGCATTTTGCGCAGGTTAGTACGTAGCAATCAAAATCTATTCTGCAGATCTCACAGCAAGTACGAACGGGCTTGCTCTTTCTTGCAAGGTGACTGTGAACTGCCCACTATATACCAAAAACTTAAAATTTTTAGGCTTGCTTCGCAAAGACTTCTCTCGCAAAATTTTGGCAATCATTTTGAGAATACCCGATGATAACGAATGCATCACTTCGGGTGGAGAAAATTCAAGCTTTCTAGAATCAACACATGATGCTGAAAGTGAATAATAAAAGTAACAGCTTTACCTAAGAAATGTGAGCGTATAAAATGACGTCAGCTTGATAATGCCATTTTATGCAACTTCTCGTGAATTTTTAGGGCTCACAGGCACTTAACTCAGCAAAACAATAGCGGAAATCTTTAGGGAACATACACAGAGACGAATTAAACTAGCAGTATTATAGGTCTGACCGAAAGGTTTGCACACTGCATGAAAGATAATCAACATGCAAGGTAATACTGCGTATCATGGTGCTGCATGCAAATAATCCAAACATGACAGCCAGTCTTCATGAATTAACAATGTGAAATGAAATGTTCAATTAAGAAAAAAAACAGCGAACTAACAAGGATTTCCCACGTAATTCCATTATTACAGAGTGAACTGAGGAACTGATCTTGAACACCTAACACCGAAATTATCGTCGCCGTAACACTGACAGTGAGTGATGATATGATGATAAACCATACAACTCCGTTGCTGGGGACAGGCTCTGCTAATCCAATGCAAATAATCAGTATTATCGCATTCACCTAAAATATCTTTCACAGTTTAACCCTCTTAAGCTATCATATTTCTATAAATCTTCAAATCTTAAGAAAATATCTCAAAACCACTGTGGTAAGTTTTCCAGATCACTTTTATGTTGCAACGACCCAAAGATCAACTTTCACTTCTTTATGGAGTCTTAAAATGCACTAATTTCAAAATCAGTGGCAAAGAGTATGAATAAGGCTCATTGTCAGAAAATAAATTGTTGTGCAATCGAGTTAATCGAAACTTACGGATTGAAGAAGCTTAAACACATGAGGGAAACTGAAAAATGTGTCTGAGCCCATCACTGAAAGAGGTTGTGTTGCACTCAAATGTGACCACTCACAACAACGAAACGTAACATCTGCTCATAGTCAACATTGGATGATGACGAACTGTCCTTATCATTTTGATAACGCCAGAACACAGCGCGATTCAAATCATAAACAACTAATCAATTCTCCAGCAGAAACTGTGGAGAGCGTTCTCATTTGAGTGATATCAAAAGCGATAGCAGGAATTCATGCAACAACTTTTAAGGGAAAACGCAAAAGAATAAGCCGGATAGGCTCTGTGGCCAAATAAACAACAACCAACAGCCTTTGTTATCAATTTGTCTAGCAAACGAAGGATATCTGCTCTTTATCAAAAGCTGTTATCTCAATCGCTATCGTATGACCAAAGTTAATGTTGTCATTGTCACTTTCCTTTTATAGCTAAAACAATTTATTCATATTCAGTGAATGGTAGCGCTTTTTGAAGGCAAAACACGGAGTAGACTATGAATTCTATAAATAAATTTCCCACATTTTCGGAAATTTAGAACAAAAAAGACAAATTTGTAAACAGATTTCATCTGATGCTTCAAATTATGATTGAAACAGACATTCAAACTTCAGATCTCGAGCTGAAAATAACATGTGCATATGAAGCGAGTGCCATTGATAAACTGAATACCAAAGTGAATTCATTTCATGAATTCACAACATGAAATTGAGTTTCACTAGTGGTTTAATAACAGTCCAGTTCACTGCATGACAAAAGGTATAGGTGATTTTGGAGAGTTCATTCATATTACGTGAAGTGTATATTGATGAATGAACATGTTGATGATTAACGATCAAATGCTGTAACATAACGCTATACATTTTGTTGGTTGTATTTTCAGAATCAGTTTTCGATCTTCTTCCATACTGATTCCAAAATATAATCCCATTTTCCATGGAGTCATTCATGTTCGAGCTATTAACTCATTATCAGATAAATTTGGCATTACGGTTTTAACAATTCTCTGCATAGTGTCCGGAATGATTGAATGGATTGCTTACGATTAATTAATTGCTGATCAACTTTTCACGCTGATTCTAAATAGTTGAGCCAATTTATTTCTCGATATGATCGTTTAGTACTGACTGGGTTGTAACATTGGATAGGTCTATCACCGTTATGTTATCACTGACCAGTACAGTGCTGGGATTACAATTACAGTGAACTGCTGAGCTCACGACTGACGTGTACTGAGTTTAAGCTCAAAACTGAAGCGAGTGTTTCAGGCGAGGTAGGCTCAGAGTAATCAGTACGCCCATCAATCACCAACACGTCGTAGTGTTTTATGATAAAAATATGACTTCAACCGTTGAAAATTGTATATTTTCCGGGTTATCGGTAGATATTTCTGAGTGCCTCTAGATGATCTAGAATATTGTGTGAAAATGATTCCCAAACTTCCATCGATTACATTTGACCCAAATGTGCCAAAGAAAATGACGACGAAACTCATAATTTAAAGAATATGATTGCATTTATTCATTGAGAATATTGTCAAGAAAAATTATTGTGGTTATAACATATCGTCATTCATATCAAGCTAAGGTGTAGCGAGATAATGCGAAAAACATTTATTTTGATAAAGATTTCATCAGAAAACATTTTCAACAACCGACGAGAGTTCATCTAGAAATGCATGAGTGAGCTGAATCATTTTTGCAACTGCTGGAGCGCTCTTAGAATATCAATGGTTTTTTTGTTGCATGGAAGAAATTATTTTGCGATTCTGTAAGACTGACGTCGGTGTGAACAAAGAAATGAAGTGAATGAATATGGAAACAGAGCCAATTTATGATGGATGGTATATATGAGATTCGGATATATACAATGATGTTTGTACTGCATTCATTTTCTGATTCAGAACTGCTGGTAGTCAGCAGCAACTGTTACGTCCGGATGCAAAGTGGTTCTCTCGGATTTAGTGCCATCATCCATTCGCAATGCTGTACATGCCAACACACCATAGATGATCACAAGTAGGAATGACAACAGCTGAAATTAGTCGTCAATAATGACCGAGAACATATTATATAAAGTTCAAAAGATAGCAGCTCAATGACAGAAGCTTCTATGCAATCTTTCAAAGTGATTTAGGCATGAGATTTGCCATTAGTATTGCTCTGGCTACCCCATTTGTGCAAATTCTCACGTCCCAGATGCTTTCGAGTCGAAAGAAACTCAGTTCTGCTCAAATGGTTCGAAACCAATCCACAGCATCAAATCACCCAGTACAAATCAATTCATTGTAGCTCGCAAGTGTTGGCAGTGTCAGAAAATTTTCATTGCTGGGCTAAACAGTATTTTTGAACGAGTACAGTTTATGAAAAAAAAAACATCTGACGGCATTCGTTTGGACTGGTGCAATATGAAAGGCCACCCACATTCATATAATCATCATGCATCTATTTATGGTTCATCGTATTAATCGGATGAAATGTGATATAAGATAATGAATTCTTCATTCTGAAAATTTATAACAACTTACGAGTGAAGTGGTATATGCTAAGTGTACGATCATGGCATTAGATAACGTCCAATTGAGAATGAAACCAATGAAGTTAAAACTGCATAACACCGTAGAGTAGAAGAACTCCTGAGCACAAAAAACTATGTTAACCTTTCAGTTCGTAGCGAAAGTTTTTAAAAGCTCATGTATATTGCAGAGAAAATAAACACAACAGTAACTATGCAATATAAAGGCGAGAATATCATGGGTTTTATTTACTTCTGAAATGGTTTGAAATCGTGTTATTTCATGCAAGTAATAAAGTGTTTAATTCTGTTCAATAGATTTGTGATTATGCTCATAGTTGAGCCGTCCTCTTGTACTCCTCTATTTTCCAATATTCGCATCGAAATTCAAAGAAGATGTTGGACCGACGAGGAGTCGAATACACACCTTGTATGCTTCAGAGGTGTTCAGTTCACATCAGTAGAGCACCTACTCTTTGCACCCATCAGTCTAATCTGTTGTTTGATAAAAATGAGCAGAAAGTTTGAAATGGAAAAATATCAATCCATGGATTAGGCTGAGTGTGTATGGCACTCACAATGTGACTCCATCGTAATGATTCATTGTTAGCGATAATTTGTAGCAATGAAAATGAGGCGAATTTATGCTGAAGATTCGAAACCATTAGAGCTAGGGTACACGTCGAGATGAGCGCTGAGAAAATTGCTATGAACAAAGATAATCCAACGCCTCGTATTGGATGAGCAACTGCCAGGCTTATTATCAGCATAATTGAGCCTATCTGTAATGACTCAGTTGAAAAGTATAGTAGCAATTAATATGACAACAAAATTAAACTATGATGAACAAAACGCTAGAACCGAAACTGAAGGTACTGACCATTGCGAATAAACGAAGTATATTGCTACTATTGACGAAATTTTCCATCCTCGTCCACTAAAAATTCATTATGCTTGTTACTGAGTGTTCAGTGATATTGTTAGTTCGTTTGGCATAATCAATATTGAGCTTAATAACAAGAAACATACATCAGAATGGCAAGTATTTGCATGGAAAAAATAACAAAATTCTTAGAATCGCAGGTTGCAACCTTTAAAAAATTGGTCTAAAAACAAACTATTTGAAATTTTGTATGAACAAATTATTCTAAGAATCAGTCAACTTGTTTCTGCATTCGAAGCATTGTAATGTGTAAACGACTTTAACATTTCGAACTTTTAGTGAACTCATCCTCCATAATGTGTCTATTTCACTGCAAATATCTTCTACGAAAGTTCATCGAGAGAAAATTAGGCTTCAGATTCGTATCATTTAAAGCGTGCATAACATCGTCTAATAATAGAACTAAACATAAAGGCATCTTCAGCCGAAAAATTAATCTAACCCAGTGACCCTTTAAAGCAGACTTTATGAAAAGTTCAAATTTAGCGAAGGTTCCTTTGAAATCGAAAAGTGTTTTTGAGGAGTAAAGCTCTAGAAATAGGGGAAAAGAGGAGATGAGGCTGGCTTAAATTTCTAAAGCGGGAAAAGCCTTAAGTGTTTCAAGGCATCTAACTGAGCAATGTGCTAACTTAGTGGAAATATAATAATATCCAAAATAAATTAACGGAAAGGCGTGAACTATCATTCGTTGTTCAGCAAAAATAAACAAGGAGGTAGGTATGTCAGATGGTTCAACGAACCATTTCGACCCTATGCATCAAAGTGGACAATAAACAGTACTGAGAAAAATTTTATCATAATTCAAAAAACATATCGCATCTGCAACTATTAGCACAATAAAATGCATATTATTCAGTTTCATAAAATTGTAACATATCAATCTTATTTATACGGCACTTATGGGCTTCCATAGCTAGGCATTCCGGACGTCTGAATATTTGTCGCTCCATCTGAGAGCAAATCCATTTATTGATCTATATATGAAACAAGAGAGTATCAAATTTATGGTAAATAAATAATGAGCTTCAAAGCTGCGATGTCTCGGAGAAGAGCAATAATCGATTATTGAGAAGCAATGTGCTTTGTACAGTTTTTTGAATCATTGAAAACATAAATGAGAAATATGAATTGTATGTCCGATTTATTTAGAAATGGTATTTTCACGTCTCCAAAAAAAAAACTCTCTCTGAAATTTGTTGGTTGTATCATATTGAAACCAAAGTAATTGACCAACCTTGATATCGACGTTCGGTGATGAAAATTCTTAGAAAAAGAATACTGTTGAAACCAAAGGCAATGAAATTACCAAAGCAGAAAAACTGAAACAAAAAATCAGCATCTCATGAACTTCAATAACAGTCATGAAGTATGTATTTCTTTTCATTCACAGAAATAATTCAGTTGAGGACTCCTTCCAAAGACCAGAATATGTACAAGATCAAATCATTTCTTCTAAGATGCTCGCATGAATTTTCGACTAACGGAGGCAGTAGTGAATGGTGTTGGATTGTCATTGAAGTCCGCACCATTAATGCACAGCCATAATGATACAAAGTATAAAATTGAAGCCAATACTGAATATGCAGCTTCCTGAAACAGCAAAGATTGCAATTATTCACAACTAATTTCGTTTCATGAACAATCTACGTCAAACAAACAAAAACGACTCACAAAGATTGGCCACGTGAAACATGAAGTTGGAATGATTAAATTTTCGATTCCCAGTGCGAACAAGAGAATCGTGATACAACCAATAATTAACGTGAATGATGTCGTGAACCAAACGAATTCTGTGCCAGGTGGTTTGTATGCAGCCAGTCCGACACTTATCATTATTGCGATGGTAATTATCTGAGAATGGCACCAAATTGTTTTGTCAACATATTTTCGAAATCCAAAAGTGATTATTCTGTACAAAAAGTCAGATCAAATCACTTTCGTTTGAGTCACTGAGTTCAGTGATCTGAAATTTCGATCGAATATGAAGCCTTATGCTTCAATTACTGAAATATATATGGAAGAAATACTGAGGTCTTATCATTACCAGTTGGAAGATCTTTAGAATATTTGGTAATGCACAGAATCGACCGATGTTTAGTGCCATAATTAAAATCTGAAAATCATAGAGGGCAAAAAACCAAAATTTGTATCTCAAATGAGACAAATCAGCGCATAAAATAGATTTAATCTGGTAAGTTGGCTAATTGAAAGTCAATTGTAAATGAATTCATATAAATCCAGGAGTTCAAATGATCTGAAAATGATGACAGTTAATGACGACAAGTGATAATAATGTTAAAATTCGAATGAGATGTGCTGCTAAATAAACACATTCGCACACTGCCTAAAATGACCGCAAACAATGAAAATTAACAAAACATCTGAAACAAAATAATATATTCAAAACTTTCTATTCATGGGTTTAAGATTGCTTTTTGGAAGAATGATAAGAAAGTTCACAAGATTTTAGTTCTAGCGTTATAACGTACAAATGGATGATGTTTCGTTTTTGGGAATATACGCACGCAACGAAGTGGGTGTTTTATCATTGAACAGTGCAATCGTTTACCATGTAGCTATCAATTCTTATCGATGTTTGTATTAGTGATGTGCCATATTTGGTTATGAATAAACACTAAGCAACTGAAGATGAGTCATTAGGTTATCATCAGGTTATCTTCAATGATCGAAAATAGGGTGCTACTCATTTAATGCACAAAAGCAAAGGAAAATTTTTGAGCTATTCATGCTCAGCGATTTTCGGCCCGTTAACATATTCTGAAGGAGTGAAATCTCTATTTCAGTTAAACTATTCTATTCCTGTTCTATTCCTGCTACGTTCCAAGGAATAGAATAGAACAGTTCTCAAACGAGGAACGCACGCACAGGATAGAATAGAATAGAGTCGTTTTTGGAGAAGAATCGAACAGAATAGAACAGCCTTCAAAAACGTGCAATAGAGGCATCACTATTCTGAAGAGTAAGAATAGAGTAAAATTTTCACTTGAACTCTGCACGCATGCTCATGAACCTTTATCATTGATCATGTGAAATTCGATTATCCGTCGAACAAGCTTGTACCTGAACTTTATCTACACTTCATTTTAGCCTGATACTAATCTCGCCCTTAATCAAATGTTTTCCATCAAACACTGAGTAGTGATCAAGAGACGTGAATGATCTAAGGTCGCATTATGCGATGATGCGGGCTCGACAAAAAATGTGCAGTCGGCTCATTGCTCATGAGTGTGAAATGAAATTTGCTCATGTGCTGTAAATGCTCCTGCTTACCAATTTTTGGTTTGCTCACCCGATGCTTTTGAATTCATGAGCCGAGCAAAATTTTTGCTCGAATTTTCGCTAGTCTCCATAATTGGTTCTATAACTAACGACGTTCTTGGAGATAGAGCATACCAAACTGAGATTCAGATGATAACTCCTTTGTAGCACCTTCAAAAGACTGCTTTTGGTTTTGTCAGATCATTCATTTCTATTATTTTTTTTGATTTTCTTAGAATTTGCACTCAAAACGCTTTTGACAACAAGTTCATCCGCTAAAGATAATGCACTTCTGGTTAATGCATTATTTCTAAGAGAAAACGTGAGCTTTTCGTTTTGAGACAGAATTTTGGAAGGAAGATTTTCAAACACATTAATCTTATTCCGAATCGTTTAACTTTACTTTCAATGATTTTTTGACAAGGCTTCTTTTTCGCTCTGAATGATAGTTTTGCTGTGTCGCTCGTAAATGTTCTCTTCTTTTCGAAGATGGCACATGAATTAATTTATCGTGATGTGTTCAATTTCAGCTTGCACATCAGGCAATTATGGCTTTCATTAAACTGTATTCAGATTACAAAACGCATCGAAATGGAAATGAAACATTATGAGGTTGTTTCGTTGATCCGTTGCACTGTTTATCCATAACACATATTCATATAACATAACTACAAAAAATCAACCGTAAAAGATAACTCTCATACTTATATACATACAAATGAATTTTCAATATGGAGCATGAAATACCGAAATGATCATTTATTTTTGCAATAGTGCAAATCAGCTAATAGCAATTTGAATAATGATGTTTTTGGATCGACTGAAATGAATTTCAAAACTTGTTGCGTTTTCTTCGCATCTCATCATTTGATCGTAAAACGTTTCAGTGCCAGAACAAAAGCTTGTGCTTCGATTACTGGGTGATGCTCAGCCATCCAACAGTACCATTCCAATAATTCATAATCACCAGTTGACATTCACAATTATTGAACACAGGAGAACAGAAGGCATAATACAAGAAACGAAAACAGAACGGAGTTATCGGTAAAAATAAAATTCTTTTTAAGATTAATTCATCAATACTCACAAAACAGAGCGTCAATGAAATTTACACATTCTACCTGTCTTAATATCTTTGCGCACGATTTGAACATATCAAACACAATGAAGACTGGCTACATGCAGCGATAAAACCCCATTCATATTTTATGTTCAAGTGAAAAAATCCTCATATGAAGAAGAATGAGAAGATCACAGACTGAGAGCTTAACTGAAAACATCGAAAGTAAACCGTCTGACGGATAAATCAAGCAGAACAAAAACTGCAAGAGTTGAATAAAAGCGTAAGAAAAAGGTATACATCAAAAAGATGAGCATTTGAGTTGTAGGTATTTGCACCGAATGTTACATTCAGAGTATTATAAAGAAAATATACATATTATATTATATTATAATAAACGATACTACGATAGAATTGCAATTATTACGTTGTATCATAAATATAGTTTTGCTACTTCATGATCGAGCTGTATAACAAAACATCGAGTAACGAACTCATAATCCATATCAATGCCAAATTTGTTAGTTCCTCAGCCCTTTCTTACCAGTTTGCCAAAAATGCATTAACTATGAGATCGAAGTACTTCCAATTTTAGTTGAATATCTTTTCCGTTCATTCAATGCTAGACATCTGCTTTGCTACGAGATACAATGACTGGAAAATAAGAATGCATACGTCAATTTTGTTCATAACGATTGTTGTGTAGCTGATATATGAATCATACCAATTAATTGATTTCTCACAATTCTACATCTATGTGCTGAATGAATTTTGTTCATTCATGCGAAATTTAAACTCGGAATCCATTTTCAATTCATCGATCCTAACTACTACAAATACATCTGTTTGACCCGGTAATCTTTTGGCAACGTCGAAGTTCCCCACGCCATGCGACTCTGAGGCGATCCCACTTCTTCGACCTGCAAAACCATCTTTATCATACAATTTCCAGAAACCACTCTACTCAGCTGCGTAAGTTAACAAATAGCGATACACTGAAGAATGCTGTTGAGGATGGAATAAAAAATGATACCTGCAGTGAAATGGGTGATGGAGGACGAGGAGCAAACGTATTGAATTTAGGTGCTGTAGTTAATGGTGTTGGAGTGGTGGCTTCGTATGCATTGATAAGACCACTTGCCAGAGCAGTTGGGCGTATCAGTGTTGAACCGTTATAAACGGGTTGAGGCGCGGGTGAGGACGACGAGCGTGCGCTAGTTTGTTTGCTTTTCAACCAAGTGAAAAATTTCGAATAGATGAAAGATGAGATTAAGCCAAACAAAAAACTTATCAGACCAACTGCTATACAAACCAATACAAAGGTACTGAATGGCGATGGTGAGGATACTGTCGATTCTGCAATTAGACACGAACGAATTCAACGAAATCAAATAGTTGATGGAATCTAGACCGGATGAGGATCGAAGAATGGCACTTCAAACAAATTGAGAATAACAAACCTGATGAAATCCCAGATGAACCACGGTGACCCGAACCATCACCGCACACCTGCAGGATTTTTTCCCCACAGTCACAGTAATGATCCTTCTTATTGCTTTTGGACGTTAAGGATGACGTTAATGGAGCATCTGAAAAGGACCTCTCGGAAAACATACTTTCAAAGGTTATTTAAAGAGAATTTATTTGTATCATTGCGGTAAGGGATAGGCTGAAGATGTCTCATAGAGGTGAAGTGAGACTAAGCCAAAAAGGATTACGCAGTGGGACTGGCGGACTGGTACTGAAAGAGAAAGAGTTTCATTTACAGTATGAATGGGAACCTTGACGCATTATCATTTCTACGAAGCAATCAACGGAATGGTTGTTTAGCTCACCTATCTTCGAGAGATGAGGTTGATCGTTCAAAGAGTTTCTCGAACGGAGCAGATTCGTACACAATTGATCACCTCTCCCTTCGACAATGTCCTGTTTAAAACGGCTGCAACATTTGAAAGAATGGTACGATAATGGTAATGAATATCCCCCAAATGAATGAGTCGAGTTAGCATCATTCCTCTTAATGCTTCATCTTTTGAATTTGACAGTTTATTTACTTCCTTCAATATATTTATTTATATTGGATCCAAAAACAAAGCCTTCACCAAATTTCAACTGCAATCGTTCGAAGAATTGCCATAGTCATACACTTTTCTTCATTCTTTCTTTCTTTTTCTCTCTCTCTTTCTCTCTCTCTATCTCTTCTCTCGCTTCCCCTCTCTGTCTCGTAGGTAATCCAGCTCAATACACAGTACAGTAGGTGTCATTCATGGCGTCCAATCCGCTCACTACTTTGGTTGAGCGTTCATTTGCAATCGTGAATGCAGTCAAGTCTTTACATTCAGAGAAGCTTACTTCAATACTGAATTACTGCACTGTTAGAATGAGTCCTTTCCCCCTCCATCTTCAATTAAAAATGTTTCAAACTGAATCGGCACTTTGATTGCAGTGCAGCATGAAACAGATGCATGTATGGATAAATGTATGAAATGAGATCAAGCGAAAACGAACCCTGATTTCTGATGTTGCAATTGTTGATCGACGAAAGTACATTTAGCAGTTTCAGCATCCCAAGCACACTGTGGGTCTCGAAGTGAGATACATTCGACACAAGTGACAAACGTTGAGCATTTAGACGTCGGAACGCGCATAACGTGTTTATCACTAACCACTATCAAATAGTTCGGTGATTCACCACAATCCAACGATTTGCACGGTGGACCCTCATAAAGCATCATATTTCGAATAGCCTCCTTGAATTTCATTGGATTTTATAAATGACATAACCAACGGACAAAATCAGTAAACGAGATTCGTCTTTGTGCATGAAATTCGTATGCAAAACAACTTTATCGATCATATTCACAAAAGCAATAATTCCTTGTTAGAACTACGCCTTTCCAGCGATCGCCTTCTACCCGCATCTCAGCCAGACATTCAATATAACAAATTTAATCATGTAAACATGCTTCATAAATGCAATCTCGAATGCACATTGCACAAAATAAGAATTCGTTAATAGTTGAAAAGGAAACGAACATTCGCAACTTTCAATGTATAAATATGAAACGAGGAATGCAATGTTTTTGCAGCGGCTCCAGCCAGATTGACCAATTTGAATACATTACCTCGATCAGTGCCAACAAATATAACATCGTAAAAGCGACCGTCCAAGGCCCATACCTAAACAATCAGCTGATGAGTCAAACAATAACGAGCTGATTTCATGAACCCGTTAAAATCAGAGATCCAAAGAGTGATGCAGTCTTTTTTTAACAGCTCAAACTATCTCACTATCAGGGAAGGAATACCTGTGGATCGATAGCGATTTGCGTGAAATGATCAATACCCGAATGAATAGACAATGGAGCGCCAAAATAGTTATGTACGGACTCTTGAACTAAAGGACTCGATCGTGCATACGCTACGGCTTCTTCGCTCAGCGTACGTGAGTCCTTTACACAGGTCCCTGCAAAAAAACAAAACTGATCACTATCAACAAATACTCTCGTGCAGCAAATCGTTCCGAACACTTTGAAAACTATTATGAATGTAAAATGTCACGCTGCCGAAAAGTTTATAAGCAAAATGATCACGGTAAACAAATACTTATGCTGACCGGGTCTGTGTTTCGGTTGTGCGGTGTTACGCGTACTGCTCCATGAAGTGTGTGAATTTGCTTGATTCTGATACGGTGACCTGGCGAAAACCTTCGTTATTTGCGTCAAATCGAAAGCGCAAACTGCCGATGCGGACACACCAGCTAAAGGACTTCGAAAGACCGCATAAACTAAATGCGCATTTTCGTCTTTCGCCGAATAACGGCCAGAAACAGGTGGTGCAATTGCTTCGATCTGCAACAAAGTAAAAGTAATGTTGAGAGACTATTGCGTCACTATGTATTGCATTGGAAAACCGTGCGAACTACTCGCATTACCATAGCATGGAAGTAATTCAACATTGGTGTTTCATGAAAGAGATAAAGTAACAGTAATGAAGATATTGGGAATTTCGATACAAGAATCTAAATATGGAATAAGAAAAGATAGTGACCTGATCAAAATAGAAGGGATAATCACCCGGGATTGAACAGTTCAATCGGGCTTTAATAAACGATGTCCACTCATTTGAATATGGCCTGGGCCCACCCAAGTCCGATCGGCATAAACGCGCAACCCGTGAATAAATAACACGATTACAACTGTCAGATTCACCTGCTTGTTCATGGAACCACAGGTAGACATACTGAAAATAATTCAAATATAGTCACGATTCAGATGATACGAATTGGACATATTCATTTGTTCTTAGATTGCCGCCATATGACTACAATTTTAGCATTGTGTGTTATAAACTGACGTATGTATTACTCTGTAAAGGAGGGATTTGACATTCTCAAAACATATTCACACATAAGTGGATTGAATGATTCTTTGATCGATTTAGAGAAAAAAAGATTTTGCGGCATACCTATTGATGACAGAATTTTTTAATGAAATCTGAACCTTTTCGTCTCTGAACGACCCTGCAAATTGTGGTTCATTGAGGAATTTCACATCATTACGTTCAGTCCTAATACCCAACTCGATCAATTTACTGACGTTGCGACGATGAATCAGAGGATCAGCACCAGAAAAATCAGACACTGCAATCATGACTGTCAGTTCGGTGATAGAAGAGCTCATCTCCGGAATTAAATCTGCCCTCAGAGAGAATGAAAAATTATCAGCACTGAGAACGAAACAAAAAAGATACTCCCGGGAACAGAAGCAAGCTTTCCACTTCAAGACGTTGATCCGTATGGTTTTTTGTTTGTCAATTCAGCAGTTCGCTTCATGGCATTTCTCAGCATATGATGTGGTACTTTATGAGTACGCGCATTTTCAGTGAAGGCTTTTTGCCGTGTATTTGTCATAATGACACAGCTGAATGCAAGTACCTGTGCCAGCATACAGAAAGTCGCCATCCCTCAAAAATGTTGAATTATAATTCGGATCATAAGGAGCGATGCCAAGACCCGAAAATTCGGCGGTTTGTCTATACTCGCCGTATTTCTCACGATCATACTGTCGACACATTGGTTGAAATGCATTTGTGCCGCAAACCAAAACACCTGATGAGCGATCGTCCTTAGCTAACACTCGTACAAAATTGTGGCATGCGTCCTCAAAATATAATTTTCTAACGATAGAATTCTGGATTATGAACACATCAGATAAATTTAATATATATCCTTGAACAATATCTCCGACTCAATAGATCCTTTTGAATATACAATCCCAAAAAAATTTCGGACGAGTACGTGCCTCATGCATACATCTCATGCCTTTCTAATACATTCCCTCGAAAAAATTTTCACCCACTCAAACGATCACTTTATGCATTAGCCCATGATTTTTTGCACCTTCAGTACCACAGCTCGTTCAAATCACTTCGGAGAGCCATCTCGAACGTGTTTTCAGCATAAAATTACGCGAACTGAGTTTTTGAGTGAGAGAAATTTTATTTGCGGATACGGTCTATTCAAGAGAAGGGTCCATTCAGAGAGATACAATCTTCCTTAGTTCTTTAGGGATATCTGTCAAAAGGAGAATTATTTCGTTATACACATTACATTAACATATATATTTAGGATGCACAAGCGATGATACCTTCGATTTGCCTTTCATTAGACACTCATTAAGGACACTCTTTTTGGAAGGCCATTTGATGGATTGTGTTTCCTTGAACGTCTGTATGCTCACATTATAAACAACGTCCCTGAAATTTCATCGTTATATTTGTTGTTTGAGAGATCTTATACATTCACTGTGAGCGTTCAACAGTGTTATAAATGATCTGCGAATAATCTCATTTCTGCAATTTGGTACGATGTGTACAAAATCTATGAGTCAAACATTCAGGTCTCATAAGGAAACCCACTCGAAACGAAAACCAAAAGAGAAGCGAAAAATCGTACCTCGCACCGATCAGGAGATGTTCTCCATCTAAATCAAGTAAACGGAAATAATCGACAGTTGTATCATTCCCAAATCGAAACATTGATTCATCTGGAAGTGAAACAAAAGCATTTATTAAAATGAATTTGATGATCAACTTGGATTTCTTGCTAGGATTATTTTAATCCATTTAGATCAGTTAAAAATTCAGAAATGCGTTCATCTGCATGCTTATTCATTTCCCTTCTTCATCTAATCACCTGACAAATTTGTAGTCCCTCATTACCAGATTCGTAACCATTCAATGGAATGAAACACTATAGGTTGCCTCCCTATCTCCAAATTTCACTTCGTCCCCTCGAAATCTTCAGCTCTGATCACAATTACGTACTTGCAATTGCTTCAAAATCTGAGGATATCTTGCGCACGAACTCATTCAAGTCTGAATTTAGTTATAATGATGGTGATGATAATGACTTAACACTAGTGTTCGTCGGGGAACGGGGTCCCCGTCGGGGACCCCGGCGGAGAACGCGGGGAGCGCTCCCCCCCCCCCGCGCAATTTACTCCCCGATTTTTTTGCGGGGACCCCCCCGGTCCAATTTACTCCCCGCGGGGACCCCCCGTGCAAAAAATTGCTCTCCGATGAACATTACTTAACACTAAATCTTATAAAGTTTCAAGATTTTAAGGTATACTTTGAAACTTAAACAGCTCTACGTATCGATGACAGAATTAGGTTATATCCTCCCCTATTTTCCATTTAAAAAACTTCTTTCTCTTGTGGGCCATCATTCCCCAGCTATAATATTAATCGATGATCTGTGAGTTTGCTGTTTAACGTTTCTGATTATGAGATGTAATAGCAATTTCACGAAATTACAAACAAAAACGATGATACCTCACTACAGTTGCAAATGCAACATACACTTTTTGAGTGACATATACATGATGTTTGGGCTGCACTTAGCTGACCTTGACTCTACAGCACGAATTATATGTCAACACACAAATGAATGTATGTCCTTATTCGATACACAAACGATGCTGATTTCTTGTTGTTGGTTAGTGGATGACAGATATTATGAGGAAAACAGAATTGAAGGGAGGAATTTATTCAATACGAAGGAAATTTGAAATTTAACAACGTTTCACTGAATAGATTTTTTTTTGAGATTGCTTGCGTATTCATTTTCCACACATTGAAAACGGGCTTCACATGCATTTTTGTCGACACACCGTTGACTTTGAGATTACGATGTCAACTCTTATTCAACTGCATAACAAAAGTTAAGTATAATCTAAAGCAACTGATAATAATAACTGTAATAAGCTTAACTGACGAATATCGAAATCAATATTCAGTCACATACAAAATACAAGTCGTATGACAGCTTTATGGAAAAACAGATATGTATTATGAGGGTTAGATGAATGTTCTGAGGATCTCCTATCACATTCAGGAAATGCATTAATAGAAATGAGCATATGTTAACGTATTTGATGTTTTGATATTGGTGGTTAGGTATGTAAATGTTATAATGTTCAGATGGTTTGTTTGCGAAACGTTTGATTTTACACGTTGGTACATTGATAAAAAGGTGTCGATAAAAATACTGAAGAGAAAGAGGGAATGAATGAAAAGGTTCGATAGATAAGAGACACAACGGTGGCGGTATCATATGAATAAAAACCGGTGGCACAAAATGGTAGAAGACGCCATCAGAATGTGTGCACACTACTCATTTTCTAATGCATAATATATACATGAATAAATATGTTATACATGAACACTTCACTACATTGATACACTGTATTTCTCTTCTTATGAATCCAGCACTTAGCAGCGACTCTTCAAAAGATGGAAGGTACTGATCTCACATAACTTTGACGGCGAAAAAGGGATTAATGATTATGAGCAAAAGCATGCAAATAAGGCAACTGAATAATTCGGTTGATAGGTAAGCTAATATGAAAAAATTTGGAGAACCTTTTGGAAGTTGTTCCCGACAAATTGTTACAAATTCGTGAACGGATTTAGTGTTTGAGTGACTGAAATCTTTTACGAGGATCTACTCGAGGAAGGAAGATTTAAGAAAGCGGAGCATATACACATTGCTTGAGAAAGTCAGTTCAAGAGGAAGCATTGTTGGCCATTTGTGGCGCTTTCTAGGAATCTAACTCACTGACGAATATGCAATATGAAACAGATCGAAGAAGCGCATAAACTCGAACCGTTAATCGCCGAATGGGAGAAAGTTTTACTGCAAGAAGAATTTATGCGATATGCCTCTGTTTCAAATGAGTGTTGTTGAAGCATATGTTATGATCGATGAAAGTGAGTTGCCCAATTCGTTAACGTTAAAAACGAGCTTTCTTTCTTGAGACTAACAAAAAATGCAAACCAACCGTTCAGAAGTGAAATAATGGTTCGATTCGCATTTGTATCGCCCTGTATGAGTATTGTACACACACGTTCCACCGTCCAAGTTGCAAACAAAAAAATCGAAATCCTCATCGCTCAACGCATCTTTACTCTACAATCCACTTATGACTTTTTATTGCATCATTTACTGATTCGTATAACGTCATTACGATTAATGCGTTGTAGGCATCGGCGACTCGCTTCATCCGCGAAATTTCATCCCCGACTTTTTTTTCAGTTCCCGCAACATACTAATTACGACTACAGTTTTTAACGAATAGACACCTAGAACACAAGTGTCTGGTGCTCTAAGCTTTTAAGATTTTGATAATTCAACCATCACCCAACAATCCAATATAATCCTTTAACGAACTTCGAACATTTATTTTTCCATTATGAGTCAAATACGAGTCAGTTATTCATTTTTCGAGAATCAGTCTAAAGATCCAAAAAACACGTAAGAAAGAATGATAAGTGCAATATTCTTGATTTCATCGAATATTTCATCGAAACAAACAATTAAAAACGATAAGGTAGATCGAATTTTGCACATATTAGAACAAGATTGAAGGGCACGTAGTGATATATAATATATATTAAGTATTTAAATAGGAACTGACTGAATAAACACTTCAGAGGCTCTTTAATTGTATTATATAGGATGTGGAATAAGGCAAAGGGATTGGTTAAGTACAACACTTATGATTTCATTCTATCATTCATTTTGTGCGTTCGCATTCATTTCACAAACGCATTTATCCTCGATTCATCATAGATACTCACTTTTGCATGCACTGTATCTGACTGTCAAAAGGAGGATATACTGGACTGTTGAAGCAATAATACCTAAGTTGACAGAAATGGCATGATCTTGATTTGATATTGAGCTATGTTTGCATTTGCTTCGACAGTGACAAATTTCTGCAAGAGAGAATACAAAAGTTGAATGTGCAACTTCAGCTGGTGATGCACAACAAAAAATATTCATCGGTGACAGTTTTCCGAGTTGAACGTGAAATTGAGGAGTGATTATTTCTTTAATTGGACTAATGGAACCAGCAGCTATAACAGCAAAAAACACCAATAATAATGAACGTTTTACACCGTGAGCTTGAGGAAATGAATGAGAAACGCCGAACTATTTAGGCTGAAATAACGAATTTTCTAACGAAGGAACACTGGGAATGATGTGTGAATAAAGTGGTTTTTGTTGGATTGCATAGAGATGAATATGGTGATGATGAATACGAGCAAAACATATCGAAATTGATTGAACCGAGATGAATCTATTCAACAGTAGAAATACGATCGATTCATGCGAAATAATCAAATTCATAACTCAATGAAATGAATGAATATTATTCGATCAACAAGAAGCTCCTCAAGCATCTGCCACAAATAATTACGTAAATACGCAGCATATCAAATATTGAAACATGATCAGCAAATTGCTTCCGTGAGAAAACGTACAGTTGGAGTATTTTTTGCAGCAATCATTGATGCGACGTTTTTTAAATGAATTGGAAATGACTGGTATAGATATGCTTGTATTCAAGTTCATTGAGGTACTCAATTGAGCTGAATGAATATTAATGAAATTCAATTAAATATTTTAGCGACAAGATAGTATGCTAATAGAATACAAAGCTTTGCAGTGAGAATGTGAATAGGAACGAACTTGTTGATATATGAGATGGAATGAAATATGATGGTCAGCCGTATAGATGATCACCTGACATTGAAGCAGACAACTGCAAAGGCCGAGTGACCGAGGATGGAATGATAATGATGGTGATAAAAGTTAGGATAGATTAGTCACCCCATATTCATACGTCCAGATGGAAGGTGCGTTTTTTGCCGGAGTTTAATAATAAATACATATATTCGTTCTTCACGAATGTATGCATAGCACAAAACAGTTTTCAGTTGAAACATTTCGAGTGTCTGCTTTTTACACTGTGAGCTTAATATGTGCAGAATGAAACGCAGATAAATAATTGATAACACCTTTTCAAATTGTGCACATATTCAATCGAATATCAGTCTTTGTAAAGCTATTACATCACGATTCATTTGACTGTTTTGATCATTAATGGCAAAATATCGTTAGCTGAATTTAACGTTTAACATTTGCTAATAAAACTTCAGGCTGTAATAAAGATACCAGGTATAGAAGAAAGTACTCGGGTAGTTACGCAGGCAAACTGATAAAACTCTACAATGGAACATTTCATCGTAGAATTGCTGTATTACGTGTCGTTTTGTAGACTATTTTCTGCGCTATCTGAATATACCCATATTTGGTTTCCATTCTTTCAATTTGGGGACTTCAGGAGCATTGAATCCAAGCTATGGATAAGAAAATAATTCGCGGAATCATGCTTTATGAGTTCAAACTTGGTCGTTTAAGTAGATAGGCGACGGCTAACATTAAAAAAGCATTTGGTGAAGGAATCACTTCCAAACAGACAGTTGGGAATTGGTTTAAGAAGTTCGCTGCCAGAGAAGTGAACCTCTGAGATGAATCAACCTACGGCTGATTGGTGGGGTCAAGAAGTTGGACGGTGAATTCCAGATGAGTTCGACGAGGCGCAGCAGTTCAGATGCTTGGAAATTTGTTCTTCATTGCGCTCAGAAACAGCAATGACCCATTCGTTGACCGAATTGTTACTGTGGATGAAAAGTGGATTGAATATGATAATCGACGGAGGTCTGCTCAATGGCTGGACGTTGGTGTGCCACTAAAAATGATGCCGAAACTGAAACTGCACCCACAAAAAATCATGTTCATCGTTTTCTGGTGTACTATCGGCGTGGCGCATTTCGAATTCCTTGAACGTCGTCAAACTATTGACGTCGAATACTACTCTCATACA